TTCTGCATGCCCTCATCACTGAAAAATTTTCATCAGAAAGCTGAAATCGTGAAGGGGAATGTAATTTAACAGTAAAACTGATACTACCGGTCGTACCGCATAAAAAAGTGAGAAAGTAATTATATGGTAATAACAATTATTTGATACTGCTGGTCGGGAAGAGCATATAGTACTGGCATTAAAAGTTGGTTGCAACAGTATAAAAGAAACCTTTTTGACATCTGTGCTTCAAGTTCAGAAAAGAAAATACTTGTTACATTTTTAATTAAAAAACAAAATATACAGGTATAAATCGGTGCTCATGATTTTCATTTAAGACATCGTTTCATAGAGAACGAATGCCACGAATAAATCGGTATAATTCATTGAATTGTGCCTTTAAAAGAACTGATTAATTAAAACCATTGGAAAATTTTATGGACGATTTTCCATGATGAAATTTTTAATATAGGAAAAGAAGCAATACTATAGCATCTTATATACTTGAAACCGAAGGTCACAAAAAAGGAAATGTCTTTTGGAAAGTAATGAAGAATCTCAAATCGCTTTCAACTAGATAATTTTTTTAAGTTCTTTAAATATTATTTCTCATAATGTAACAGCACAACTTGCTTGGAGAAATGTAGTATGTAGGAGTGACATAGAGAATTTTAAAGCTTCTTTAATTTTAAAAAAAGTCTGCCTAAACAAAATTAAAGAGATTTATAAAAATCGTATAAACGTTATATACGTTTATACGATTATTTCTAATATCGAAACTATTTTTTTTAATTTGATTATTCCAGTTTCAAAGCATCCAAAGATCTTCATCTGTCTTAAAAAGGATAAGAAAACAACTTCGGGGAGTTTCAATTAAAATATTTCTTCCCTTAATATGGTTACTTCACGTGCTCTGAAGTTTTCAATAGTTGCTTGTTTTTGTATTGTATCTGGTAATTTTGTATGTGGTACTAGATTTTCCGTTTTGCATTTTGAATCCGTTCATGATTTTGTGTTATTTTAAAATTTGTTATAATGCCCTTAAGATACGCACTGCTTTTACATGTGTAACTTAATTTTGTTTACATGCTCACCAGTTCGACAGCTCACCTTACTTGTTTCATTAGTAAGACAAGTGTTGTTTCACGGTGGAAGGTGAGAGCACCAGGGTACCTGAGCCGAAGGCCCTACCCCTTATCGAACAACTTGGGTATTTATTAAATTTACAAGCCATAAAGTGAAAGTATAATGTAAACAATGATAAAAATTTTGAAGTTGGGAGTGCTGCTAGAATTTTAGAATAAACATTAAGTGTGCGTGAAACCAGTCGAGATGTGAAAATGCCAAAGCATGTGAGAAATTGTTGCAGCTGGTGACTTGAATTGCTGTAAGAGAGTTTCTTAATACATTAGAGATAAGGCAGTACAGAAGCATTCGGTGAGATACAAATTGGGAATTAAATTAAGTTAATTAAGTAAATACTATAGATTAAGACACTGGTAATATAACTGTACTTTTAAGATGGGAAATAAATTTACTGAAATAAGTGGGTTGAGAATCATAAACTATGGCAATATGCAAGAGTGAAAACCAGTAACCAACCGAGAATATAATAGGTTATTTGTCAAGATACATATATAATAATGCTAACAAGATATATAATATATTTTTAAAGCTTATATATAAGAAATATTATACGCTGGCATTAATTTGCATAAATATTTCTTCAAATAGGTTAAATAATAGGAAAAGTTTGTCGATTGAATCTCTGGCATTTTGGCAGAAATTTTCATAATTATATTAGTTAGTAAGAGTCTTTTGAACAGATTACTTATTTTTTTAACAAGTTTGAAAACTTCACCCAGGGAACTCAGGTTAAAGTTGTTGCTATTATTTTTGTTTACATCAGAATTACTTGGTTTTGATGAATGTCTATTAGCCTTGCTGCCGTTTTGGATAATATTTGCATAAGATATGCCATTAGTGACCTGAGAATATTTAGTTTCTATGAGCTTCGTAATTGTATTTCTGTCATTATTCGAGTGATAGCATTGTTTTCGTTAGGTTTAGGGAACTTGAAACAACCCCTGAAATTGACGGTATGTCCCTCTTCCAACCAGTTGCAGCACTTTACTACATCAAACCTCTTAGCTATGCATTCAGAAGTCTTATAATCGCCAGCGCACGTGACGCAACATGGTCTGAGTTATAATTATCCGAATTGTGATGGAAGTGCTGACAGTTATAACACTCCACAACACTTCCATTCACTATATATTCGACAAATTCTACACAGAAATGTAACAAGTATTTGATTCCATAAATTTTTTCTACCCCTGGATCATTTTCTAGTTGGATTTGGAATAATGTCACGGGCGCGTTAGTCTTTAGCCTGTGCATTTGGGTTATTTTTCTCACTTTAAATCCTAAATAAATAGTTCATCGTGTATGTCATCAATAGGACAATCTATCGGAAGACCTCTTACGACTACTTTTACTGGTCGCTCATAATTCTTTGTAATGAGGTAGTGATCCACTTTTGGTTGGTCTAAATAATTAGTGATACCTCTGGGATCATCTTCAGTTTTAGGGAAAATTTTCAGGAATTCTCACCAAACCTTACTCGCGAAGTTTAATTCAGTTTCCTGCCTTAGTTTTTTCAGAAATTCTGAGTACTTGATATCAGGCTTAATCATTATGGGCTTAATTTTTGTAGCGACAACATCAGTAATTTCTGTTTCCATAACATTTTCGTTATTATCTGCAACATCTTTGGGTAAATTGTCGAATTTATTGCTTAGAGAGATTTTAACGTTACTTTTGATTAATTTAGATGGTCGGGCCGTTTTTTTGGGCGAAGTGAAGCCATCAGCATCTAAATATTGTATTATGAGGCTTGATTTTTTGGACGGCCGTTTAGGCATAGAGGTTTTCGAAGTCACAGTATTTACATCAGTATCAGAAATTGGTGGGTTGAGAATACATTTTTCAAACGTAATCATAATACAGTCATCATCCATAACCTTAGTATCATTAGAATGAGCATTATTATTGGGTTTCCCTCAGTTGGAGATACATTATTAAACATAGCATGCAATATACTATTATCGATTTTAACATAATCAGATTGTACTTCACCGAATGATTTGTACTTACCTTCGAATAATGTGAATAATCCTTCGCAAATTGTCCTTTTCCTTTTGTAGTGGTTCAGCCCGGTTTGAAAACAGCGAACACACCATCCAGGGTTTGATTTTCAGTACGCATTATGGTCACATAATTCAGAAGTTTAAATATTCCTTATGAGTAATCTTATCTTTTAGCAGTATTCCGTTCCAGTCCTTATCTAATATTTCGTCCGCGAATTTCAGAAGTTCGTCCGGCAGTCCCGCCACGAGGGCGCGAGGTGACGAGCACCCACTCTAGCATCATCCGAGGTTAATGGAGGGGGAATTAATTTCCCGCCATTTGAAATAATCCAAGGGAAGCCCTTATAAACTCATCACAATTCAAGAAAAGCCGAATCATAAACGAAATAATCCAAATGTAATCAGATTTTCCATGAGCACGAGGCTCATGATTAAAATCACCACGTGCGACCTCCTATTCTCTTTTCATCAAGGCAAGTGCTATGTGACCACGATATTTTTATGCTTAGAACTTTTGTCGTTCGTCGGCATTTAGAAGCATATCCGCTACTTCGAAGTAAATTCAAAAGTAACTATTTACTCGATGGAGGTAGACCAGGTACTCAGGTGTTTGCACCACTGAAAGAAGCCTGAAACCTCTTTAGAAGTTTGTGAAAACTCCAGTCTGAGCCAAATTTTCTATAATCATAACATATTTATCAAAGGCATGTTTTCAAAGCATTGCACTTGAATTTGGTATGACAGCTAACAGGCAGTTGTCATTGGTAACGTCGTACCTGAATTCGACTCTAGGACTTTTCAACAAGTCTGAATGTTCAAAGCTAACTACACATCGTATAATATGCACTTGTCCTAATTTCACATCATTTGTGTGATGACTATGAACTTATCAGTCAGCTGCGAAGAAGTAGCAATCAAGATTAGATCCTTCTGTAATATTACAATGCTTAAAAGTGCGCAACTGTTAAAAGTTGCGTCGATTTCCAGATCAACACTAAAATGAGCAATCCACGACCAGGAAATGCAAGAAATGAAAAAAGTGGTAATGCTAATGACGATTTCTGGCATCACCGAAACCCGATATTGGCAGAAACACGAAAAGACAATATTTGTAATTATAACAATGTAAGTTCAATATTAATATGGAAAAAAATTAGCAATAAGGAATTTAGTGACACTGTTGAAGGAAATGATTACGGAAAAGACGACGAAAGTGAAAATGCATGTAAATGAAAACATCGAAGAATGAACACGTGGCAGAGACTTTGAAAAATAAAAGTGTTTTTAAGTCAGGTTTAAAAACGTTACCAGGAAGCAGTGATCCGTACGATTTTTGTGAGCTTTTATTTGATGATACCCGTCCCCCCCCCCGTAATTGGGAATGAAGCAAATAAGTACGCCGAAAAAGACTCCATAACTAACAGGTTTTGCACTTTTGATATTTTTTAACTTTGTCGCTACATAAAAAGCATTATTACACTTTCCAAATTAGAAAATTATTGAAATAAAGACAGATTGATCAAATAACATTGCTGCTCCCAGCATAAAGATTTAAAATATTTTATGATCTCTTTATATCGAGTAATGTAAGCATCATTGCCTTCGAAAATTTATTTCTATATATATTAATTTCCTCTTAATAAATATATCTATTTATTCCCTCATGATAAATATATCTAGAAAAAAAAAATATTCTGATACATTGTACACTAGTACCTGCTAATAATTTAACTTTATAATAACCTCAGGCTATAAAAAATATGCTGATTGTATTTTCAAATTAATGAAAGTATTTTTATCCCTCACGCTCTACTTTCAAGTATTTAAATTTTTGAAAGGTATGCAAAAGGAAGAAGAGGACATATTTGGACCAATCACGAATATGTCAACAAAAGTTCCGTGGTTTTTATTTTCAGCGGAACTGATTTGTTTGTCAATTTAGTCATGTAGCAAACGTACGATTTTTCCACTTGCCCGAACGTATTGTGCGTCTCTTTCAAAATGACGAAAATTTTTTTGTATGCTACAGTTTATCTCTTTATATATTTATTAAAATCTAGTGAAGCTAAAGAAGACACCAAACTCCTTTTCGTTCAGATTGTAAGCATTTAATTTTTTAATATGTATACGAATTTTTGTTTAATGTGTATTTTTAGCCTTTCTTACCTTTTATTTTTTATGTGTATCCTAATAGTTTCCTTTTCCATAATTCTTAGCTGCAAAGTGTACGTGGTAGCTAAAGCAGAAATTAACATATGGTAACTTATATTTCCGCAAATGTTTTGAACATTTCATTTTAGTAATTAATGGAAGATGGAACTTTCAAAAACAAATTATAAATGTAAATAAAATCACATTTTATTTTGTGTTTAAATGAAGAATTGGAAAAATGTCTTTTTCAACTTTTGTTTGTATTTATTTTAATAAAGAATCAAATATTTTTATTTGTCAGTATTTTATGTAAAAATGATTACTATGTGTTTATGAATTTCAGGACCTTTTCATTACAATTCATGTGTACATTTTCTTGTAAATACAGCACATTTAATGCAAATATGTCACTATATATATAAAAGCTTTAGAAAAGTGTATATGTATTTTAATGTTCTGAACATAAATGTAATTTTTATATCATTGTATAATTTCTATAATATATTTTGAATATTTATGTTGTTTAAAAACTGTTAAAATATTTTTAAAAATCAAAATAGTGAAAGAAGTTATTCAGCATTCATAGAAATAATTTATTTTTTCAGATTTTGGCAAAATCAACCTTTTGACATTGGTTTAGTAAAATAAATAAATAAAAAAATAAATTAAGAAATTTTACGAGTCTGTCGTGAAATCCTTCTTCAAAGAGCAAAGTTATTAATCTTCAGCTTTAGCAATTAACAAGGAATTTTTTTTCCCCCCCCCAAAATTTGAAAGACTTGTAGAGACCACTCAGATTTTCAAAATAGGAAACATGAAAAATCAAAAAAAATCATCTGTACCCTTGCCAGGATTTGAACACAGATCTTTCAGTTGCTAGCAAAACTTGTTAATCATGTATACAACAAGTGTATTCAAAAGAAAGTGCAATAAAGTTCCCCAGGGTAGAGTAGACATTAAGGTACCCCATGTATTATGGCAAAGTTGTTGTTTGATTTATCGCCAAGTTGTTCTTTCATTTATGGTAGCCTGGGTAGTTGAATGTTATGGAAACCCTATTGTGACGTAATCGGGTGCATGATTCTGGGAAATTTTGAATCGTGGGATGTTTTGTAAGCGTTTTTGTGGTGTTTGTTGGTTTGATTCTATAGACGGTAGAATGGCTGAATGTAGTAAGTTTCTGTACGATTTGGAGCAAAAGGGGAAAAGAGCTTTAATTGACTGGTGTGTAAATGAAGGTTTACTTAGCAGCCATTATAAGTGTCCTGTATGTAGGAAGGATATGCGTCTAATCGACCCTAAAAACCGTTTAGATGGATTTGAATGGGTTTGTAGGAAGAAAGGATCAGATGGTCAATATGTGAAGTGTTCTATCAGAAAGAGTACCTGGTTTGAAAAAAGTCATTTGAGTATGATTGATATTTTGATTTTTACGTGGCTCTGGGTGTACGAAGCAAACTCGAAAATCATGCTACGTGAATATTTGCTTTTGGTAGTGCTTAAATGTATACAATGTTTTTCCTTTTTTATGTTATTTTATTGTTTGGTTTAAAATGTATTTTATTGAGATTATGTATTTTTTGTTTGCCTATATTGTAGAATTTGGTGCTCCTTTGACTTTTTAAGTGAAAATCATCGATGTGTACATGGACAAAGTAAAGGGAGTGCGCAATGCAAGTTTGATTTTTTTTTTAAGTAAAAATAGGTTGACATTTACATGGATAAAGTTAAAAGAGTGCGCAATGCCATTTTTGTGCAATTGGGGGATTTTTTTTAAGTGAAAATAAGTCGATGTGTACATGGATACCGAATTTGTGCAATTGTTTCTTGTTATTTTGGCTTTGTGTAGAGGCAATTTTTGGCACAAAAATCACCGCTTCACAAGCCAAAATAACGAGTAAAAGAATTGTACAAAATCGGTAGGTAAAAGTATAGTTTAGGGTATCCCTTGGCGAAACTTGGCGATTTTTAGCAGTACATAGATACCAATTTGTGCAGTTCTTTGACTCGTTATTTTGGCTTGCGAAGCAGCAATTTTCGTTCCAAAAATCAGCGCTATACAAAGCCAAAATAACAAGACAAACAATTGCACAAACTCGGTATCCATGTACACATCGACTTATTTTCACTTAAAAAAAGATCCCCAAATTGCACAAAAATGGCATTACGCACTCCTTTGATTTTATCCATGTACACATAGACTTATTTTCACTTAAAAAATCCCCGAATTGCACAAAAATGGCATTGCACACTCTTTAAACTTTATCCATGTACACGTCGACTACACATCGATATATTTTCACTTAAAAAGTCAAAGGAGCACTAAATTCATATAGGCAAACAAAAAATACATAATCTCAATAAAATACATTTTAAACCAAACAATAAATAACTTAAAAAAGGAAAAACATGTTATTCATTTAAGCACTACCAAAAGCAAATATTCACTTACCATGATTTTCGAGTTTGCTTCGTACACCCAGAGCCATGTAAAAATCAAAATATCAATCATACTCAAATGACTTTTATCAAACCAGGTAATCTTTCTGATGGAACACTTCACATAGTGACCATCTGAACCTTTCTTCCTACAAACACATTCAAATCCATCTAAACGGTTTTTACGTTCAACTAGACGCATATCCTTCCTACATACAGGACACTCATAATGGCTACTAAGTAAATCTTCATTTACACACCAGTCAATTCAAGCTCTTTTCCCCTCTCGCTCCAAATTGTACAGAAACTTCAAATTAATCTTACTACATTCAGCCATTTTACCATCTAAAGAATCAAACCAACACACACCACAAAAATGCTTACAAAACATCCCATGATTCAAAATTTCCCAGAATCATGCATCCGATTACATCACAATAGGGTTTTCATAATATTCAACTACTCAGGCTACCATAAATGAAACAACAACCTGGCGATAAATCAAACAACAACTTCGCCATAATACAAGGGGTACATTAAAGTCCTGCCCAAAATCGCCAAGTTTCACCAAGGGGTACCCTAAACTGTACTTTTACCAGTTCTCCATTTAAAAGATAAATGGAAGTAGTCACTATACCCAGCTGACCAAATGGGTACAGCACATGGTGACTATCTATCAATCATCACATTTTATTTTAGAACACACAATAGAGATCATCAGCTAATTAGTAGCAGAAGCTTGAAAAATAACTGTGGACTCGCAAGGATTTGAAGCATATATTTTTTGGTGCTAGCTGGAGATGCTGATTACTTTTTAAAAAAAGTAATTATTTACTTTTAAAAAAAAGTAACTTATTATGCACTTCGCTCTTAAGCTAAAGTGACCTCACGTCCTGATTTTGGCGAGACAGTCCCGCGGATTTTTAAAAACCTCCCATGTTTTAGAAAACATCTGCATTTTTTATTTTAAATGTACTGTAAAAATATATTATCTATTATTTATTAATTATTATATTAAATATAAAGAAATAAAAAAACACATAGAATGCGTGCAGAGTAAACTAAATTAGGCGATGTAACGAGTTAGATTTACTCGGTGGTGTTCGATCATTGTCGTTACATCTCGGCAAGAAATATGTATTGTTAACGGAAGAACAGCTAGCATTAGCTGAAGGGCTTCTTGCTTTTCGCACCGTAAACGACAATAAAAGTTTCAGATCAATTGATTGTATGTCGCAAATGATCAAAACATTGTATGACAAAAAATTTGCATGTGCAAGGACAAAAACCAAAGCAATTATTTGTAATGTTTTTTCACTCTATTCGTTTTCACAATTGCAGAAAGAATTAGATAAATGCACATTTATATCCATATATTACGATGCTTCCAACCACAAATATTTAAAATTATTTCTCACAATTGTTAGACTTTTTAATCCAGAAACAGGAATTAAAATTAGAATATTAGATTTTATTTCATTGCCGGGTGAAACTTAACAAATAATTGATTCAATAAGTACTTTTTTTTTAAAAAAAATAATTTGAACACAAAAATTATTGCCTATTGTGAAGTTAACAGTAACAAAAATTTTGGTGGAAAAGCTAGAAGAGGCATTAATAAAGCTTTTACGAAACTTAACGAACATTTGAACCAAAAAATTATTGGAGTAGGTTGTGCAGTGCACATTCTACATAATACTATTCAAACAGCATCTGACTTACTTTCAGTGGATCTTGAAAATATAATTGCAAAAATTTATTTGTATTTTTATAAATATACTGTGCGTGTTGAAAGTTTGAAGGATTTATGTGAAAGCGCAGAAATCAAATATAAAAGAAGTAGGCGACGTTAAAAAAGGAGATTTTATGGGAATATGTAGAAAAAATATTAGTAACCATTTTCTGAAAAATAATATTTGCGAAAATGATCATTTTGATAAGGTGTCATTGGTTAAAAGATATGTTACTGAAAAAAATTAAATGTTAGTTGTCTGCAAATGTGGAAACAGACAAAAAATGGATGGAGTTATTACTCCATTTTAAACAGAATAATTATAATGAATGAATATATGAAATATTAAAAATGAAAATATTTTGAAAATTGTAGAACATGCGCTCTGCCTTCCAGGAACAAATGCAGGAACAGGACGTGTTTTTTCTAGTATCAATAAAATATGGACAATTGAAAAAAGTTGCAGTTGAACATTAAAACTTTAAAATCTGTATTAAGGGTAAAATATAATTTGATCAATTCATGTGAGAAATTTCACGACATTTTATTAAATGATCTGAATCTATTATAAAGTATTGACTTGGATAAAAAAATATGACCGTGAAAGAAAATCGTAATTTTTTTAGTAAAATTTTAAATTAATTAAAAAACATAATATTCAAATTATAGTTTTTTACAAATATTTTTGGTTAATCTTCGGATTATGGTAACTTGGTGTTTTTTGGCAAAAATTTGGTGACCAACCCTGCCACAGCAACCTGCTAGTTTTGTTTTTGGATGCCATTTTGTTTTCACGAAGTAAAGACATGTTTTTTGTTTTTTTCCCCCTCAACATTTTTTTCCAACAATCTGCTAGCCGAATTACGCTTATGCTAGAACTTTTATGGAACAAAAGTGCTTAATCATGACGAAGATTAGGTGCGAAATTGGGAGAAAGTGCAGAATCGCCCACTGCTTGCCACGTTTTTAAGAATTACACATACACGGTATACATGCATACGTCGGCCTATTTTCACTTGAAAAAACATCCCAGAATTGCACAAAAATGGCATTGCGCACACTCTTGACTTTATCCATGTACACTGCTAAAGTCCTAGCTAGTAACCTTTATCGCCTTACCAAAATGTCGCCAAACTACCTGTTACCATATTCCAAAGATTAACAAATAGTTCATAATAAATATATTTTTGAATATTTATAGACAAGTATATGAATGTATACAATAAAATATATTCTTTTTTGAATGATGGGTCTGCTTTCATAACTAAATTACAAATTTCATTCCATTTGTTGTGCTTTGCCTCAATGAAAACGTGGTCAGTTTACCTTAGGCACTACACGGAAAGGGAGGGATGCTCATTGAGGTCCTTTTAGGGGAAACTGTCTTCTATCCACATTATACAAGGAGAAAACCACGAAAACACCCATGCAGACACCCTGTTCACCGAGATTCCAAACCCCAGACTGAACTGCTAGTGTTCAGTAGCTTTTACTGTTGAGCTGTTGGTGGGCCATGCTGATTACTAATGCTATAAAAGCACACAGAATCTAATTACGTAATAAATCTTTTAGCCGTGGATAATAATTTGCATTTGTTCTTGCAAATAAATAATATATTTTGAAATGTTTCTTTTTTAGCATTAGTTTATATTTTCTCATCCTCACAAGTAAATGCATTTGATGTATGTTATAATTTAAGCTGTATTTTGCCCCTCATTTTTTTTTTCCTTCATTATTTAGCTATTCAGGCATGGTGACCGTGCTCCTATTAATTTGTATCCAAATGATCCTAACCCAGAAAGCTTCTGGCTAGAAGGATTGGGCAAATTAACTATGGTATTTGCTTTATTATTTCTCTTAATCTTTTACATTATTTTAAACATTTTAAAAATAGAAAGGTTAAATGATTATTGCTGAATCATATTTTAGTATCCAAAGAAAGTTGCAGAGATTATTGAGAAAAGGTGTCACATTTTGCATCATGTAAAAGAAAAATGTAAAAATTTACTAACCTTCTCAAGGGGGGACGGTCATGTAAACAGTTGATTTTTTATGAATTTATAAAAAATTAAAAAGTTTATTAAATTTTGGTAAAGGACATTGTAATATTAATGATAAATGCTATAAGAAGGTATATTTTCATGTCATAAGAATTCAAAATAATGCTACAGCTGATCAAATTTCACCTCCCGCCCCCATTATTTTTGTGCATGTGTGTGCAACGTAGGCTACAAGTAATTCTAATTATCTAAAATCAAAAAAATTTTGTTAAAATATGACCTTGTGCAAATCTTGACCTAAATTTAAGAGAAAAAGAATTTTAAATTTTTTACAAAGGATTTGTTAGAAACAATATTTATTTTTAATGGTATTTTAGTTTCAAGATATGGTTAAGAACATCTGTGGAAAATTTGAAGTCCATATTTCAATTTTTTAATTAGTTTGCACTTCATGTGAAAAATATGTCTTTAGAAAAACATGTTTAAAGTTTTTGATAGAAAAAAATAGTACTAAAAAATTATGTTGACATACTGCTCTGTAAGCTTAATCTGCAATTCTTGGCCTTTATAGTATGTCTTCCTTCTCTGCGAAATCATCCATTTGAGCTATTAATTTGTGTTTCCAAGGTGTCCTCTTGAACACCATTCACTTTGAGGATTCTAGTTTGGGTTTACAACGTTATATTCATGTATGCATGTATACAGGGTAATTCGCTACCAGACCAGCAAACTTGTATGGAGTACTGGGGGTACAGAGACGACTGCGAATCACATAGGAATGCAGGGTCACAAATGCTGTAATTGTGAGCTATGGTGCAGAGAAAAATAGAAACAGCAATGAATTAATCAGACAGAAAACATTTTATTGAAAGGTTTTACTACAACAGGTATTCGAAATTATGTCCAGAAGTCAATAGGCAGGCCTGACAGCATTGCTGCATGGAATTCCGTATGTTGTGGAAGATTCCTCCTGGCAGACTTGCATTAGATGGTGCTGAACGGAAGATTGCATGAACAGCGATGCTTCTGGAAGCTGTCATTCGCAGTCTGTTTCCTGAGGTAGTAGGATGAACGCGTATTCAAACGAGGAACTGGTCGATATGCTGATTGTGTATGGAGCTGCAGATTGTAACAGGCACATTGCTCAGCAGTTGTACCAGGTACATTACCCGAACAGGTGTGCCCACATTACACGACCTTTGCAAATATGAACAGGAGGTTAGCTGAGACTGGTTATTTAACAAGAGTTACAATTAATCGACATCGAACAATGAGGACACCTGGCAATGAGGAGGGAGTCTTATGTCTGCCACAAGATAATCTAAGTGCAAGTACTCAAGCAATAGCCCAGCAAGTGGGTTTATCTCAATCCATTGTCTGGAGGATATTTGCAGCTTCAAACATGAGGGAGCCTTCGATCAGCATAACATCCATGTGTGTTCTTTCGAGAACCCTCATCCTATGTAATCACATGCAGCTCCAGAGTGTTTCTCAGTCAATGTTTGGGCCGGCATTCATGGAGACTACCTCATTGTACCGTACCATACTTTCTGCCCAGTCTTTTGGACGGTAGGGTATACCTGATTTTCTTGCAAAACGTCCTGCCTAAACTTCTTGATGTTCTTCCATCGTTGTGCCACTCCATGTGGTACCAGCATGACGGGGCTCCTCTACATTACATGATATTTGACAACATCTCAATGTAACCTTTGGACAGTGGTCAAGAGGTCGTGGTGGCCCGGTTTATTGGCCTGCCAGATCACCATACCTATCATGCATTGACTTGTTCTGGGGTCACATGAAGAATTTGGTGTACGTTCCTTCAGTTGAAGACCTCATCGCTCGAATATCTATAGCTACCAAGAGGATATGTGACATGCCAGGAATCTTCCAGATCGTAAGGAATTTCATGCAGCGCCACTCTCAGGCCTGCCAGGTGGTTTCTGATCGTAATTTCAAACACCTTTTGTGGTACAACCTTTTAGTAAAATGTTTTCCGTCCCATTAATGTGTTGCTGTTTCTGTTTTTTTTTCTCTGCTTCTTTACACCAAAACTCTCAACTACGGCATTTGCAATCAATCCTGCATTCCTATATGATTCTGAGTCATCTCTGTACCCCCTGCACACCATGCAAATTTGTTGGTCTGATAGCGAATTACCCTGTATATGTAAATATGAATGTGTATGTGTATATACATATACAAATAATTTATAATAAGAAATCTTTCCGTATACCATCTCCAAGGGATACAAATTTAAAACAATGAAAGAATTTTTTTTTTTTTAGAATGTAAATAGAATTTTAAATAGTAATTTAACTTCTTGTTAATAAATCAGCTAAGAAAAGTCTTTAATTGCAAAAATCCATAACCAAAAGTAAATTTTAAATATTGAATAAGCAGCTATTGTCATTAATCGACTTATCAAGGGGTTAAACCAATCTACCATCAATTAACAACAACTAAAGTAAGAGAGTGTTTCATCTTACTTCCAAGTAAGCATCAAATTATTTGCTAGATTCAAACCATAAGTCACAACTAATACTCAATTCAAATAAAGACATTAGTCCATTTAAGCCATAAGAATCTTGGGTACTTTTCCGTTTTGCCGGCGCAAGCGATAAAGTCGCCAATAATGGTACAACCGATGCCAAACGGAATATTCTCACTGGTAACCTTTTACGCCTCATTTTAAAAACAAGTCGCAGCTTTTTCTTATCAGATTGATTGTTTCTTTCAATACTGGTATATAATTACATAGAATTTTTATCAGATAGTTCAGTTTTATGTCTAAGGCCATTTTCGGTAATTAAGTCAATTAGAATGCAATCACAGCGCTTACCCGAAGCCGAAAATATAGAAAAGGTAAAGTCAAGGGTTAAATTCATCCATTCTAATGAGAATGCATTAGCGAAGTAAAGCACTGCAGTTTTACATAATTTCTGAGTAAGCTATTCGTACGAATTGAAATATTTCTTGCATTTAAACTTGTGTTCCACATTAAGATTTAACTTGAAATTAATGTAGATGATTACTGAGAGCATTAGATTTTTGTAGAGTAGTTTACGTGAGATGAGATCGCTTGGGGTCATGTGATATGAACCGGCGAATCAGGATGTTGAACCATGTAACATAGTAAATTCTTAAATTAATGTCTTTTTACAAATTTATTGCCTTTATTTATTGGCCTTTTTATAAAATTTTAAGCGATATTAAAATGTTTATGCCTTCAAAAAAAGAATTCTTAGAACTGACATTTTTAAAATATTTTTTATGTGTATACTGTATGTTGTTTGCCAATAAAGTCTGCTTGGCGAGATTTGCGCCGGCGAAACGGAAAAGTACCGAATCTTGTGAAACAAAATAGCAAATAACCTTAAAATTAAAGTTTCTCATTAAGAACACAATCTGTACGAGATGCTTACTTTGGAAGGCATATCCCCTGCACTCTCATGAAATTCAAACACAGTAAACAGTTAAAAGTTTGTTCAAAATCGTAAGATAAAAAATGATACAAACTTAAATAAAAAAGTAGTTAATTAGAAATTTAAAGATCAAACTGGTAGTAAAAATAACAAACTTGCCTTAAAATTTTAAAACCAAATGGCTGGAAATTCAAGTATTAAGTGATGGAAGTAAAAAGGCTTAACGTAAAAGTGCAGTTTTCTATTTAAGAAAGTTTAGCCTAAATTGGCGAGGAAATTGGAATTCTTCTTGGAGATAATACATTGAGAGTAGGCTGTTACTAACTACTGTCTTCTAAAGTAAGCATTGCATTCAGATTAATTGTGTTCTTCATGAGAAACTTTAATTTAAGGTTATTTGCTATTTTGTTTTACTGGATTATGGCTTAAACTGACTAATGTCTATTAGTCATTTGGAATGAGTATTTGGAATGACTATTAGTAGTGACTTATGGTTTGAATCTAGCAAATAATTTGATTCTTACTTGGAAGTAAGACGAAACTCTCTTACTTTAGTTGTTGTGAATTGGTAGATTGGTTTATCCCCTTTATAAGTCGATTAATCTGCAATCAATGATAATAGCTGCTGATTCAATATTTAAAATTTACTTTTGGTTTTGGATTTTTGCAATTAAAGACATTTCTTAGCCGATTTATTATTAAGAAATTAAATTACTGTTTAAAATGTTATTTACATTCTAAAAAAAATTTTTCTTTCATGGTTTTAAATTTAATTTGTGTTCCTTGGAGATGGTATATGGAAAGATTTCTTATTATAAAATATTATGGATTATTGGTTTATTACTTTGCAGCTTTAGTGCAAGTTTTAGGCTTTTTAATTTACTATTAATTACTTTATTTTGAATACGTGTATGTACATACATACACACATTCGTACATTTCTGAATCCGGTTCCGATAACAGAACAGTACCAAAAATTTTAGAAGGTTTTTTTTTGTCTTAGTAATTATAAACTTTAATCTTATGGAGAACACTACAGTTTTTAATATTTTTATAATAATTAAAGGTAGTCAAAATGCAGATTATTAGGAATGTAGTTCAATATAATAATTTAATATGCATTTCTTAATCGTTGTGGAGGTAGTATAATTATTACGATAGCTTTGTCAGATACCTTGACATTAAATGAATTGTGTAACATGCAATTACTGAGTGTGGAACGTTTACAAAATAAAATATCTCTTGTGTTCATACATTAATTAAATTTTTTTACAAGAATTGTGTGGTTGAAGTACCATATGTAATATCTACCATTTTTAAAAAGATGTCTTATCATTTATTAAATTTTCAATTATTAAAAAATATTTTAATGTTTGCTACTACTTACTCTTGCTACTACAGTAGAAGTCCAGAAATCTGCAAAGCTTGGACCAGAGGTTGTGCGGATTTCAGGACAGAAAAGATAAATCATAATATTCAGACTAAAAATGCAAAATAAGTAAAGCGTATTAGATACATTTAATTAAATTATTATATACATTATTACAATAATTTATTATATGCAATAATATTACATATATAAATTGATTGTATTATTTATTGTATGTATATGCAAAGATTTCCGGTGTTAGAATCACTGTTGCTGTAAAATTTCAACAGCTTTTCTTTATTTTTCTGTATATCATACACAATCGTGTTGCAACTCCATACGATTCTGCTACAAACCGAGGAGTAGCAACTGATTTCATCTTTTGCAGAATTTGCACTTTTTGCATTACTGTCAGTCATTGCAACGTGTTTACGTTTTTCAACGTTGCAAGCAGTATGAGTGTGTTTCTTATCTATAATTGTATTAAAAAGGGCTGAAATTAAAAATATTCTTAATTTATCCACAAAATATCCGGATTAAAAAAAAAAGGCAGCACTAAATAATCTCGTGAAATAACAAAGCTCTGAAAATACAACGTGAATCGTTGAGTAAATCATCTGCTTTTTTACCTCGATACAGATTAGAGGGGGAAACTTTTATTATGATGTCAATAATTTGGTATTTCCGTTATGACTCATTATGATTCGGTAATTATGACGTCATTATTTGGTATTTTTCCTTCTATATTTCGTACTCAATGTTGCGGTTTTCGGAACCTATAAACTGAATGTTTATATTTTGAGAGGCAATGCAGATTTCAGGAGTTGGCAGATTTTTGGTATTTGACTGTACTAAGATTTATATCCATCAAACTATGAAAATAAGCTTCATATCTGCAGCTTGTGTAGTTGCTGAATTTGAATTGTACTACTGCTAGACAAATTTGATGAACTTGGAGCTGCAGGCTACCTTCCAAAGGTGCCGACATTTTGAATTTGTGCAGTATTGCTTAAAATAAATTAAATTAAAATATTCAAGAATAAATTTTTTATCTGTTACTTTACTTCAGGTAAAATGAATCAGCAGTAAAATAGTCATATGTACAAAATTGTGAATACATAAAATTCTGTTGGTATTATCAGTAAATGATTTAATTTTCAGTGTTTATGCAATGTATTCCATTTCTTGTGTATGAGTTGAATACTTTTTTACAAAACAAATTTTAATATATTAGCCATAAAGGTGACTAGGATATTTTGCTATTTTGGTTGTAGGTCAAGTGTCAGATATGACTACTTTAGTCCTAATAAGTAAATTATAAAGTATTTAATAATAATTCATATATTTGCATTTAGATATTGCTATTCTTTTACCTGTATACTCATTGTTATTAATACTCATTTCTTTTAAAAGCTTGGAAGGAAGCAACACTATGCTGTAGGAAAATTTTTTAGGCTTCTGTATGAAAATTTTACTACATCAAGTCCTCTCGAGGTATGCAATAAAATAGCATTTTACACCATTATAATTGTTTTAAGTTAACCTTAAATTACTTAACTGGTAAAATATTCTTGATTTATTTGTAGAATATATAGTATATATCATAAATGTTCAGAAAACTTTTAGTGGCTATTCAGTACGTATATGTATTTCTATACATGATCAAAACTATATCAATCATATGTTACCATTTCAGGTATATAATGCATAGCTGCCATCTCTCCCATTTTTTCATGTTTCCCAGTCGTCTGATAAATTACCAAATCTCTTGGCTTTTAATTTTTAATCTTTACTAAGGAAAATGTTTCCCAGTAATAAATGAGCATAATTAAGTTCATGAAACTTAAATTAGGCAAATTCCATCCCTAGAATTTTTCTTATTATATTTTATTGATTTGAATTGGTTTAAGCTACTCTAGACTTTTGTAGATTTTTATTTCAACATCCAAGCATAGTTTTTTAATCAGTTAACTAGTTTGTTTATTTTTATATATAGTAATCGAGTCTATCCACAAAAATCCTATGTACATTAATTATTAATTTTATTTTCATTGTATTTAAAAGTACTTAAAAATAATAAAAATAAATAAAAGCTTTCTTTCACTGCTGGAGATTTTCTTAGTATAAAAGTGAAAGCAAATTAAAAAATGAAATTAGCCAAAGAACATAAAATTTAGAACATCCAATTAAATGCTAATATACATAGTTTACATTAGAATTGAATTACAGATTGTTCAATAAATTGAACCGTGTATTACAAAGTGAATTAAATTCATTTTGGTGTTCCTCTGAATTGCCATCGTCACACAGCTTGAAAATTCCCAATTTATCTTGTGTTTCCTGCAAAAATCTTCCGGTTTTTAAGATTTCAAGGTTGGCAGATATGATAATGTAGCATGACTACTTTAATATCATGTAGCAGAAAACATCCTATGGTACAAGATGATAAAATACTGTATTCTTATGAATTCTCTGTGTATTTCATTTTCATCTGATGATTGGATGATAATGTTCCAAAACATTCACTTTGGTTATTTTTTTAGTGTATTCAGTAGAACTTTCAATTATATGAATTCTTATTTTTCCCTCTGGACCATGTAAAATGAAGATTTGAATCAATTTTGCTTTTAATTTATTTATTGATTTAATAAATATAAGATAATTTTTAATTTTAAATAAAAGTGGCTTGTTATTGGTGAGCTTCCCTGTTGGCATTGTGATTTAATTTGTCAGACTGTATCAGCTGTGCAAACAAGAAGTGAAAATATTTAAAGCTTATAACATTTTTAAAAATTTGATAAAACATTTAAAAAGTGATAAAATAGTGTATTCTTATGAATTGGAAAAATTTTCAGTGCTAAATCAAACATTTAAAATTTATCTCTTTGATAACTAGGTGAAAATTATGTTTAAAAAACTTTTAACAGCTGTTTCTTATAAAAGTTGTTTTCTGGTTGCAGTAGGAGTCAGAAGAGTAAATTCCCGATTTTTTTTAATGGATAAAATATTTTAGTTTGATTGCAAAATTAGACATTATGGTGATCATCTTTATGGATGTTTGAAGGCATTAGACAAGTCAGGAAGTGATGACTGTAATAAAAATAATATATCTATTAGTACTGATGTTTATTTATGTTTTTAGTAATAGTGTTCACTTTCTGAGGTTATTGTTTCAGGTTATAATACTTGCCATGAGAGAGTTCAGTATAATTTTCATATGTAAAATTGCTATTTCTCTATACCAAGTTCTGTCCGAGATCTTGTATTTTATTCTTCCCAGAGAAATATGTATGGGTTAAAAATAAAGATAAATTGCTTGTTCGAGTTCAAATTAGTGCCACTGAATTCACATAGTTAAAATTTTTCTGTGTCATTATGATGACCATTACTTCTTTCTTTATTTTCAAATTATTACAGGGAAACCTTGGTTCTTGAATTTAATTTGTTTCTCAATGCCATTTGTCAACTGAGATTTTTGCAAACCTAAACAATTTTTGCCATAGAAATTAATTTAAAATGGATTAATTATTCTTGGACCATAGATGATTGCTTATTTAAATTGCATAACATTATTTTGTGCATATATCTATCCGTAGTCCGGAGATACCAAATTATTCAAGTGGTCTCATCAGTATTGGTAATGATCCTAATACATTGCATCGACTTGACTGTAATATCATAGGGATTACTTTTTTCATAAAATAACTCTGCAAAAACTAAATTAAATGATGTAGGAGTTTTATGGTATCTTCACACACGAAGCACAACACATTGTTAATAACAACTGACATTACATCAGAGACTTTAAGTTGAATAATGCCATCAATCAGTTGTTTCTTTTTTATATTAATTAATAAATGAAATTGATTCAAAAAATGTGCACAGTTATCTCCATAGCCTTGAGTACTGGCTCATGACTTGGAAAATCAAAATTAACGTCGCTAAATGTGCAGCCATGATATTCACACTCTCCCGAATCCCGCACCCTACCATTAATTTAAAGTTCTTTGTTGACTATGTCCCCTGGTCAAATTCATATAAAGTATTCATATAAGTATCTAGGAGTGATACTTGATTCCAAATTAATCTGGCGTCTTCATATTGATTATACGCTCAATAAAGTGAAGACCGTCAGAACCCAACTTTACTCCCTTCTAGGCCAAAAGAGCCCTCTGTCAATCAAAAACAAAGCTCTTCTCTATACTTCCATCATTCAACCAATATTTTTGTATGCTTGCACCATCTGGGATACAGCTGCAAAAACACACATAAAAAGAACTTCTAAGCTTTCAAAGTAAGACCCTGCTTTTAATCCTTAATGCAGCCTATTATGCTCATACTGATGTGATTCATTCATATCTTAACATTAAACCCATAGACGTTGTTACTAAAAAACTTAGTCAAAATTTATTCCTCAAAATTGAACAGATTGATAACCGTTCACTTCAACAGTTACCAGCCTACGATCCTGCTATTTGCAGCTCACAGAAAAGACCTCGCTCCATAATGGGGCACGAATATGGCATCTATCCTCCAGCTGAAAGGCGTAGACACACCCCTCTCTTCTCAGTTCCAGCGCTCAGCCCATGAAGGACGTTCTGCCATGTAATTGCTCTGCCATTCTCCTACTCCAATATTACTGAAAAGTGGCCACCTCTGCATTCTTATCAATCTGTTCACTATCTAATCACGTCATGCCCTCAGAAATAAATTTCTGCCCTGGATATTTTGTAGCGAAAACTTAATCTTTACTTCACTATGAGTAGTGCCATATGCCAATGACCCTATTAATGTGTAAAATCTTTCCTTTCCGCTTTTTTCTTTAGTGTCGTATTTTTGTGTTATAAAAAGAAATATATATATATAATTTTAAAATACAAAAAAGTTTAAAATCATAGAACTTCCAAAAAAATCAAAACTTGATTTTTCCTATCCCTAAACTTTCTCGAGCTAATGTAGCTCCCTCTAGTGGGCATCATGTTAACCAATTATTCAATCTTCCTATTTCTGCTCACTACTTAAATATTTTTCTAATGTTGAGGGACATGGTTTTGAACCATAGGCTCTCTAACTTATAATCATTATTAGCATTGGCTAATATGCCTTTGCTTACCTTGGCAATGATGAACATCCCCTGGAATGGGCGTCTCAGTCCTAAATCTAAAGTAAGCACTTTTTAAAAGTCGTTATTTCTGTCCCATTAGCAGCATATAATTTGTAATCACAAGATCCATTTGTTGTAAAATGAGCTGGCAGCAATGACATATCTGCTCGACTGTCCACGAAGAACGTTAATCCTGAATTTCTATCTGTTACAAATAACCAGAACTTACGACTATTCATGCGTTTAGCAGCAGAGGTAGTCACCGAATCTACTGCTGTGTGGAGTTTTCTGTCTATTTCCAGCTGCAAGGAGGTGTACACTTTTCTGGAAAACACATTTTTCTACATTTAAACTGGAAATACCACAGTTTCCCTTTTGGATTATACCATTTCCGAGATTTGCTGTGGTTCCTGTGACTATAGTTGGAACTATGATTTTGTGATCTAGAATGTTGCACACTGAGCGTAGCTACTTTTTGTTCCAATGCTGATATTTTGGTGAGAAGCTCGTTAACTGGGGGGTATCATTACTTGCACTTGCAAGCTCCATATGTGGGCCCATTTCAGCAATTTTATCAGCTATTGTGGCTAATATTTCCAGACTCTCAGCACTGACTGTCAGGGTATTTCTGACTGTGTTAGGCAACTTTTCCATCCACAGAAGTATGTAGCATTTTCTCAGACACATTATTATTATCACCAAGTGTTCTCATCTATCGAAGCAGTTGACGTGGCTTCATATCGCCAAGTTCTAAACCAGTCAATAATCTTTTGCTGCTCTTATTTTCACTCTCTTTAAATAAGTTCATGAGCCTTTGGCTGCTGAATATTTAGTTGCAGTTTCATCTTTTATAATGTCCCATATATTTCCTACAAACTTAGGATCCAGTTATGCCACTAATTAATTAAATTTAGTTTCTTCTGAAGTAATTCTTGCAATTTTAAATTGGGCTTCAACAGTATAGAACCATATCTCTGGTCTATCAATTTGATCTATTTGACTGTATTCACAAATACCAATTTTGAAAAGTTTAACACATTGTCTGAAAACACTACCACAGCAGAAATTCTGTTCTACACTGCAAGTTATGTCGTACGATTACGCACATTGCAGTGTCCTGCACACTAAGGTCACCAATTGTCTGTGGTCCAGGGATACCAAATTATTTAAGTAGTCTCATTAGTATTGATAATGATCCCGATACATTGCATTGAGTGATTGTAGGATCATGTGGATTACTTTTTTCATAAAATAAATAAGCAAAAATAAATTATGTAAATTTTTTTGGTATGCATCATAACCTAGAATCAATGGAAACAAGTAAATAAGAAAGGGGGAAAAAAAGATAAGCACGGTATTTAATGGATAAAATAAATAAAATCTTAATTTT